AGTTGCTCTTATGAAAAACATTCTTACAGCATTGACCGGCCGCACAAATGTGAATCGGGCCATGGCGAAGGTTCATCTTCAAAGAGTTCCTTAGGAAGCACTTTTTGATAAGTCGACTAATAATAATAGGTCAGATCAACATGAAATAATCTCGGGCATTTGCTGTTCGCTTGTCCGTCGTGTTTCCAGATAATCTGTATTACTGTTCGACAAGCTAATTTTACTTTCAAGATTCTCAAAATAAAGTTCTGGATTACGTTGAATGAGCCCAAAGATTCTGGTACAGACCTTTCCACGCCACGATTGTTCTTATATCTTACTAGAGTATGAAGGTCTTAAGAGAGCAATATATTTATATTAGTTGTTCACAATTGTTTTTCAAAACCTTGTTACTTACAAATTCCATGTTTTATAATAATTAACCTCTGGCAACAAACCATTATAATTTTCAAAATATATTGAGAGAAATCTACGTATATTTGATTTAGGGGCATTTAGACTTACTATAAGTAAATATTCAACCGAGCTACAAGTTTTTTAATTATGCTTGTGTTTGGACGACCTACATAAAAATTTTGTTTGCATCAGTGACATGTAACCGCTCCAGCTTTGAAACCAGGTTGCAAATAGCAAATAATGCTAGCTGCACAACTCTGGTTTCAATACAGAGCGATAAGTTTCCTATAGAAAAGGGACCGAATGCAGGAGACATATCAGATGAAAACTCTCAACTCCCATCGTCAATGCTTCTGTTTCTACATTCGGTTTAGTTTTATCAGTTGGTGCCGTTTACTGGTCGTTTCACTGCCGCTATATCCAGCTAAATTGTATTCTGAAATAGGACTAGAAATATAAAGTAATTTTGCTGGAAAATACTGGCATTGATAAATGGCCTAAGAATAAAATATGTTATTTAACTAATTTAATATGCTCGTTTTATCGAAACGTCAAAGTAACTTTTTGAAATTAATGTCTTATATAATCGATTTTTTTCTCTTTCCGCTTGCCTATAGTGTGTCGCAGAATAGATATCCTCTAGCTGATAGTTCTTAATTACCCTGGCGTATTTTCTTCATCATTGAGCAGTTTGCAGAAGTATTTCTTCCAAGTATTTAGAATCTCCTTTTCGTTATTTAGAATTTGAAGAAGCATTAAAAAACATAATAATATACAGGGTGTCCCACCGGGAACCGCCGCGATCGATATCTGGAAAATTGATATTAGGAGAAACTTGCAAATTGAACCATGTGCCGAAGTCATTGGGGGCAAGCGATCTAAAATATTTTCAAGACGGCCACACTTCCGGGTCATTTTGAAACGTATTTTTTGAACACTTTGTACTAATACTTATCAAAATTTTGTCGAAATTCCATTAAAGTAAGTCATTTTCAACAGTAAATACGACTTAAATTAAGCAGAATATGTTCCCTGATAAGAAAAACGAATAATTATTCAAGTGGCTGCAACTGTAATGTTTAACACAAAATTTCAAATATGTAAAAAACGGTATAGCATAATATACATATAAGATATATTTCGAATTTGGAGTGGAATTTAAAAATGTAATAATATATAGAATGTTCCATTTGAAATAAGCAAATTGATACCTACTTCCGGTATAACCGGAAGTATGGCCATCTTGAAAATATTTTAGACCCTTTGCCCTCAATGACTTCGACAGACTGTCCAATTTTGAAATTCCTCCTAATTACAGTTTGCCAGATATCGATCCGCGGCTGTTCCGGTGGGACACCTTGTATAGGGCATATAGAGGCATATTGAGGCTATATCATCTAATGCAGCGTTACTCAAAGTGTGCTCCGCAAAGTCTACGGTAGGGCTCCACAGACAATAAAATTAATACCCACATATATTAAAGAGGAATCTATAAGAATAAAGTTACCTAAGATAAAAATAAACTACCGAAAAAAAGTGCCTACTTATAGATTTTACGGGTACATAATAATACAGAGTGATTCACGTAGCCCGTTCGTTAGAAAAAATGTCATTTCCCGAAATCTTATTAATATGAAATTTGGCAGGCAACCATAATCGGTTGCTGCAAGTCTAAATACGGCACTTCCGGAATTACTATCTAGGAATTTTTTAATGGAAACGTTGGTGTACGTTCCTCTAAAGTCGTTTATGAGTTATTGACATTTTTTGGAAGAAATATTAGATACTGTTTTCTTATACTTCTTTCTTCTTCTTCAGTAGTCGGCTATGGAAGTAATCCGTAAATTTGAATCAGAAATTGTAATGGAGGCATTTTTTGATTGTCAACTTTGAAACACCGCAACACACGCATGAATAACAAAAGTGTCGGAATCAATGCAAAATGGCGACCAAACCCTTGAAAAATTGAGTAAAAAAATTGGAATGGTTCAGGAGTTATGATTTTTCAAATTAACCTCTGCATCCCTGTTTTTTTTTCAGTAAATGTTACATATGCCAAAAACTATGACAGGCAAGTGTCGACAAATGGACGTTTTAAACTCAAAATTTAATGGTGAATACAAATATGAAATGAAAATAGGGACTTTCCATTTAAAAAAACCAAGATATCGAAGATTTTCGATGTTTCCGGAAGCGTCGCCATTTTGAAAAAAACGATATTTATACTTGCAGCAGCCGATTATGGCTGCCTAGCAATTTTCATTTCATTACAAAAAACCTTTTTTTTGTAGGTACCTATGCTTATTAATAAACGATACACATATAACTCGTTTTGTTTTTAGTTTAGTTGGGGTTTAGGGCTCCGTTAAAAATTTAGTTCTTTAAAAGGGTTCCGTCACCAAAAAAGTTTGAGAACCGCTGATCTAAAATATTTGCAAGTGGGTTGCACTTCCAGTTATACCGGAAGTAGGTACTTACTCGCTTATTTTAAATGGAACACCCTGTATATTATAACATTTTTGTATTCTTTGTCGGATTTTTACGTCATTTTGTTAAATGAAATGGGTACAAAATTCCAACTGTTGTGGAATAATATCCATTCTTCCAAAAAAATTGACAGATGCATACTTGGAAATAATTCGTGGTTCCGCCTATTTAGGGCAATAAATTTGAATATAACTTTAGCTTGTTGTAGGCAAAGGTGCCATGACTCAATGTGCAGAAACTGAGTTTTGCATCTCTCATAAAAAAGACGTTATGGAACATTGAACTTGACTGTCAAAAAAGGAATATTATCCAAAAAATTCAAATGGAAACCCCTATGTTGTCCTATTCAGATCGATTTGGCGGCAAAAATTAAAGTAAGTTTATAAAAGAGTTTATGTAGCTAAACGTAACAGTTTCATAGTTATTTTCAATAAACAACCAATTTTTATATCTGGGCTAAAAAACAAGGCGATATAAATATGTACCGAGTTATTGATTGAACTTTGGCCACCCCGTTTTAACATCTACTTTATACTACTTATATTTAATGATACAGGGTGTCTCAAATTAAAAATTCTCCATAAATGATAAATAAGTTTAAATAATCTTCGTTTGTATAGTTTAAGCGCCCGGGCATGATTACTGATTATTTTCAAAAGGTAACTGACAGCAGTCAGCATTCCTTTGGCATTTGATTATATTAAAAATGGCCGCTTTCGTCATGGGAACTAAGAGTGACAGGATTTAAAAGAAGATGCTGCAAAATAGCCATATGAAAACATTAAATTGGCAATATTTCGAAAACTAAACACTTTTGGAATAGACATCGTTACACAAACTTACACTTATTTTTAATACTGAATATGACAAAATTACCAAAAATGGGGGTTTCCATTTGAAAAAAATTATTTTGGCCGGTATTCTCAACTGGATTGTAAACTTATTTTTTTAACCCTTTGTATTAATAGTTTTCAAAATGTTCGAAATTCCATTAAAGTAAGTCCTTTTCAACAATAAATGCAACTCAAACTAAGTATGACAAATTCCCTTATAGGAAAAATGAATAATTATTCGAGTGGCTGCAACTGTAATTTTTTACATAAAATTTCAAATATCTCAAAAACGATTAGACTTAGGTATAGGATAGTACACACGAAATACATTTAGAATTTGGAGTAGAATTCAAAAATGCAATAATATATAGGATGTTCCATTTAAAATAAGCAAGTTGATACGCACTTCCGGTACAACCGGAAGTGTGGCAATCTTGAAAATATTTTAGGCGGCTTGCCCCCAATGACCTCGGCACACTGACAATTTTCAAATTTCTGCTAATTACATTGTGCCAGATATCGGTCGCGGCGGTTCGCGGTGGGACACCCTGTAGAGAACATTACACCCTGTATCCATTGATACAGGGTGTATTTTAGCAGAAACCAAGATTAGTATCAAAGATTTGAAACCTCCATATTATTAGTATTATAATTTCCAAACTTTTTTCCTATCTAACCAATTACGGTTTCCGAGAACCCCCACAATCCCTTCTTATCTTGGCCACAGTGTATAGATATCTACTATTTTCATATCGTACATAACTTTGACTGCTTTTTAAGTCTAATTTAAGTCCTGCAAACAGTTTCTTACTGAAAAAAGAAGCGATTAGAAATTAAAACGTTACAGGTTTGCAAAAGCGGGACATATAGCTAAATTGACTGATAACAATCGCATTCTTCCTCGATTAACATAACAGCATTTCAGCAAATATCCAACAAATTTCTAATTATTTAAGTACACGTATACATGTGAGCCAAACAGAATTACTATCGATCAGTGTTTGAGTAGGAAAACAGGTCGCCGGTGTGATCAGACCGAGATTGTTCTTTCGAGCGACTTTCACCCCTCCATAGTCACCCTCTGGTTTATCCCCCACTATATTTCAAGCACGTGCTCGCAGTACAACATGCGGTATTGACGAAAGAACAGCCGTACCGATTATTCGCTCTAAATAAAATAAAAGGCAACGCACTCTACATTGTCCCAGTTTAGGCTGACTGCCTTCTCTCATGTCATGTCATTATTCGATCAAAGATCAAAGTAAATCTGACAGTGGAACTTACCTTGCTTCCTAACTGGCATCTCGAGGTAGTCCTCGATCAGTCGAAATTCGTACGAATCCAGTTCACTGCCAGAAATCACACTTAAATAGTAAACACTTTACGCGAATCGTACAACTTGCCCGGAAAAAAGTCCACAACGCTGCAGGTGAAAAATCGACGAAAATTTCAAAACAGCACAAAATTTATAATATTTAGAAACGCGATTAGATCGAAATGAATGCCCTAAATAAGGGAATAGCGTGATTTTATAAGTCAGAGACGTCAAACTGAAGTGAGTGGCTATGGGGTGGATTGATGCGGCAACAATGCAGAACGTCGCGACGCCGTCCGATGCCTCTGGATAAAATTAGTTTTAAATGGGAAGGAAGGCGCCATCTCGGGGTGTTTGTGTTGCCTACATTACGTAACAATTGAGAAATCTCACATTCCCACAATGCTTCAAATGTAGGAAAAATTTTAATTGAATGATAAAAGTACAACTGTCCATAAAATCGAAATTGTTTTAAAACCGGCACATCTTTATAGCGGAAGGTTTGTCGATTGAAACACAATTTTAATTAATAAAGATTAGGTGCATACTACAAATCGATCAAATTTTATAGGATCCAATGTACATTAAAGTAAGTAAAGAGCGAAGTAATACCAAGACTTGCATCGTCTTGCAATACTCTGTGGCGCACTTCTTCTTCTTCTGTTAAATAAGAGGTAAAATTGAATAAAATTAATGCAATAATACTAAGATTAAAAGATAATAATATCCAATTCACAACAATAAAATTATAGATAAGTTCTATATTGTTGAGGCGGATTCATTTTTTTACAAACTTCTTTTTGGGTATTTCACCTCAAAAATGTTTGTCTTTAAAAAAGACAGAATTTTCTCACGTCTTTTATTACAGATTGATAAATAGTGCTCCTATTTCGCAATAAGAAC